TTTTCAATTTTGGCCAAAAAATGAAAATGCTCCAAACTTTCTAAAAAGATGCGTAAGGGATCCTAGAACGCATTTCGACTCGATTTCTGGAGAAAAGTGCCATTAAAAGGAAATAATGCGTCAATATTTGGGGGCAAAATCAGTCCAAATTATTAATGTTTTCTCAAAAGATGTTTCTTTTTTTTACCCTAATCTTCGAAATTATTGCTGTCTCAATACTGAATGATGCTCCCCTTCCATTAAGAGTCATTTCTGCGAAGTTTAAAGAAAAGTCATTTTTTTGGCCAAATTTGATCAAAAAGTAAGGTTAACCCCTTGCAATTTTTTTCAATTTTGGCCGAAAAATGAAATTGCTCGAAACTTTCTGGAAAGATGCATAAGGGATCCTAGAACGCATTTCGACTCGATTTCTGGAGAAAAGTGCCTTTAAAAAGAATTAATGTGTCAATATTTGGGGGCAAAATCAGTCCAAATTATTAATGTTTTCTCCAAAAATGTTCCGTTTTTTACCCTAATCTTCGAAATTATAGCTGTCTCAATACTGAATGATGCTCCCCTTCCATCAAGAGTCATTTCTGCGAAGTTTAAAGAAAAGTCATTTTTTGGCCAAATTTGATCAAAAAGTAAGGTTAACCCCTTGCAATTTTTTTCAATTTTGGCCAAAAAATGAAAATGCTCCAAACTTTCTAAAAAGATGCGTAAGGGATCCTAGAACGCATTTCGACTCGATTTCTGGAGAAAAGTGCCATTAAAAGGAAATAATGCGTCAATATTTGGGGGCAAAATCAGTCCAAATTATTAATGTTTTCTCAAAAGATGTTTCTTTTTTTTACCCTAATCTTCGAAATTATTGCTGTCTCAATACTGAATGATGCTCCCCTTCCATTAAGAGTCATTTCTGCGAAGTTTAAAGAAAAGTCATTTTTTTGGCCAAATTTGATCAAAAAGTAAGGTTAACCCCTTGCAATTTTTTTCAATTTTGGCCGAAAAATGAAATTGCTCGAAACTTTCTGGAAAGATGCATAAGGGATCCTAGAACGCATATCGACTCGATTTCTGGAGAAAAGTGCCTTTAAAAAGAATTAATGTGTCAATATTTGGGGGCAAAATCTGTCAAAATTATTAATGTTTTCTCCAAAAATGTTCCGTTTTTTACCCTAATCTTCGAAATTATAGCTGTCTCAATACTGAATGATGCTCCCCTTCCATCAAGAGTCATTTCTGCGAAGTTTAAAGAAAAGTCATTTTTTGGCCAAATTTGATCAAAAAGTAAGGTTAACCCCTTGCAATTTTTCTCAAATTTGCCCAAAAAATGAAAATGCTCCAAACTTTCTAAAAAGATGCGTTAGGGATCCTAGAACGCATTTCGACTCGATTTCTGGAGAAAAGTGCCTTTAAAAGGAAATAATGCGTCAATATTTGGGGGCAAAATCAGTCCAAATTATTAATGTTTTCTCCAAAAATGTTCCGTTTTTTACCCAAATTTCGAAATTATAGCTGTCTCAATACTGAATGATGCTCCCCTTCCATCAAGAGTCATTTATGCGAAGTTTAAAGAAAAGTAATTTTTTGGCCAAATTTGATCAAAAAGTAAGGTTAACCCCTTGCAATTTTTTCAATTTTGGCCGAAAAATGAAAATGCTCCAAACTTTCTAAAAAGATGCGTAAGGGATCCTAGAACGCATTTCGACTCGATTTCTGGAGAAAAGTGCCATTAAAAGGAAATAATGCGTCAATATTTGGGGGCAAAATCATTCCAAATTATTAATGTTTTCTTCAAAAATGTTTCTTTTTTTTACCCTAATCTTCGAAATTATAGCTGTCTCAATACTGAATGATGCTCCCCTTCCATTAAGAGTCATTTCTGCGAAGTTTAAAGAAAAGTCATTTTTTTGGCCAAATTTGATCAAAAAGTAAGGTTAACCCCTTGCAATTTTTTTCAATTTTGGCCAAAAAATGAAAATGCTCCAAACTTTCTAAAAAGATGCGTAAGGGATCCTAGAACGCATTTCGACTCGATTTCTGGAGAAAAGTGCCTTTAAAAGGAAATAATGCGTCAATATTTGGGGGCAAAATCAGTCCAAATTATTAATGTTTTCTCAAAAGATGTTTCTTTTTTTTACCCTAATCTTCGAAATTATAGCTGTCTCAATACTGAATGATGCTCCCCTTCCATCAAGAGTCATTTCTGGGAAGTTTAAAGAAAAGTTATTTTCTGGCCAAATTTGATCAAAAAGTAAGGTTAACCCCTTGCAATTTTTATCAATTTTGGCCGAAAAATGAAATTGCTCGAAACTTTCTGGAAAGATGCATAGGGGATTCTAGAACGCATTTCAACTTGATTTCTGGAGAAAAGTGCCCTTGAAAAGAAGTATGCGTCAATATTTGGGGGCAAAATCAGTCAAAATTATTAATGTTTTCTTCAAAAATGTTTCTTTCTTTTACCCTAATCTTCGAAATTATAGCTGTCTCAATGTTGTATAATTCTCCCCTTTCATCAAGAGTCATTTCTGCAAAGTTTTAAAAAAAAGGCATTTTCTGGCCAAATTTGATCAAAAAGTAAGGTTAACCCCTTGCAATTTTTATCAATTTTGGCCGAAAAATGAAATTGCTCGGAATTTTCTGGAAAGATGCATAAGGGATCCTAGAACGCATTTCGATTCGATTTCTGGAGAAAAGTGCCTTTAAAAAGAATTAATGTGTCAATATTTGGGGGCAAAATCAGTCCAAATTATTAATGTTTTCTCCAAAAATGTTCCGTTTTTTACCCTAATCTTCGAAATTATAGCTGTCTCAATACTGAATGATGCTCCCCTTCCATCAAGAGTCATTTCTGCGAAGTTTAAAGAAAAGTCATTTTTTGGCCAAATTTGATCAAAAAGTAAGGTTAACCCCTTGCAATTTTTTTCAATTTTGGCCAAAAAATGAAAATGCTCCAAACTTTCTAAAAAGATGCGTAAGGGATCCTAGAACGCATTTCGACTCGATTTCTGGAGAAAAGTGCCATTAAAAGGAAATAATGCGTCAATATTTTGGGGCAAAATCAGTCCAAATTATTAATGTTTTCTCAAAAGATGTTTCTTTTTTTTACCCTAATCTTCGAAATTATTGCTGTCTCAATACTGAATGATGCTCCCCTTCCATTAAGAGTCATTTCTGCGAAGTTTAAAGAAAAGTCATTTTTTTGGCCAAATTTGATCAAAAAGTAAGGTTAACCCCTTGCAATTTTAATCAATTTTGGCCGAAAAATGAAATTGCTCGAAACTTTATGAAAAGATGCGTTAGGGATCCTAGAACGCATTTCATCTCGATTTCTGGAGAAAAGTGCCTTTGAAAAGAAATAATGCGTCAATATTTGGGGGCAAAATCTGTCAAAATTATATGATTTGGTTAAGAAATTGCTAATAATTATACACAATGGTTATCAATACATCTGCAGTACGGTAAGGTTCTTTATTCCATCTTTAATATAGTTTCCTGTACCGATAACAACATACATGCATTTTTATATTCTATTCGAGTTGTTCAATCATACGCAAAACAATTTTACCAATGTACATCAAAAGAGGGCGCTCCAACGAAAACTTCTTCGACTTCTGTACATTTACCTCACCCCCCCCCCCCTAATTTTTTTTTCATAAAACCCATCCCAATTCATCATGAGTCGCAAAACGACATTTTGGTGCAGTGTGCGACCTCCGAAAGCCAATAAAACTTGATGAATGAATATATATTGAACAATAACTCCAACAATACTTGTCTTCAATCAACCACCATTTTGTCTCATCTTCTGATTAATATTCTATATATTGATATACATATTATATATTGACGGACTTAATGGGATGAACATTAGCAGATAAATGTTTTCTTCAAAAATTGATTATTTTGCCCAACTCTTCGAAATTACAACTGTCTTAATATTAGATGATACTCCCCTTCCATCAAGAGCCATTTCTGCGAAGTTCGAAGGAAAGGTTTTTATTTTAGCCAAATTTGATCACAAATGTTTTTCAATTTTGGCCGAAAAATGAAATTGCCCCAAAATTTCTTGAAAGATGCCTAAGGGACCTAAGAACACATTCCAACTGGATTTCTGGAGAAAATTGCCTTTGAAAAGAAATAATCAGTCAAAATTTTTATGTTTTCTTCAAAAATTGATTCTTTTTTGCCCAAATCTTCGAAATTATAGCTGTCTCAATATTGAATGTTACTCCCCCTCCATCAAGAGTCATTTCTGCGAAGTTTGACGGAAAGTCATTTTTTTTGCCAAATTTGATCAAAAATGTAAGGTAAACCCCTTGCAATTTTTTTCAACTTTGGCCTAAAAAATATTGGTTCACTGTGATTTTTCGTCTCAAGTGCCTTTCTCGAGCAAAGTTTTTACCTCATATTTCACAGAAAGTGAAATTTTATCAAGCTCTTAACATTCCCGTTGCTACACCTTTGAGTTTGTCTACCCGTTACGAAGTTATAAGAAAATTATTGGCTCGATTTTCCTATTAATTTTGAAGTGCGCTTTTTAACTGCGCCAAAAAATAAGAAAATTATTTTCTGACGAACATGTTGTGAAATATTTGGGTGGAGATCACAATGGTTTATCATAATTAGTCAACTTAACTGTTTTAATATTCACGTGGGGATTTCTAAAAATGCACCACATTAGTGAACATTACTGAACACTCGAGCGATTTTGTGCTTCATCTCTGGACGTTATCGTTTTTGAATTTTGGAATAAATTTCATTACCACTAAAATGATTTACAAAGGTTCAACAGCAAGCATTGTTAAATGTTATACGTGTAGTACCAGTATTTAACTGAATACACTTGAAGCTTGTCAACAAAGAAGTTTGGCAACACTGCATGAGGCCACGTCAGGGGACATGTTGGAGTGCGCCACGTTAAATAGGAAACCCCAATTAGGGCTTCGCTTATAAGTACTGGGTTGGGCTCTCCTTAATCACCTTTTATTACCGTGAATTACCGTGTGTTTTTTTCCTGATGGAGCAGTAAATTTACTGAACTCTCTATGGCTTGAAGAAGATTACCAGTGACGCGAGCACCACCGATGCCCAGACTGACGTCTGATGTGCGGATATGGCGCTACTAGGCCAGACGGGAGGTTCTGTGTCCAAAAAAGGGCAAACGTAAAGAGTTCTTTATTAACAACAATTTGGACAAAGCTGACTCGATATTTTTACACCTACAAATTTGCTTAGCCATTACAGCCTTCTGAAATAAAATAAAACAGTGAATCAGGGATCCCATTGCAATACAGGTACAGGAAGATTTGGTATAAAGATACTTTTCTTCAGAAGTGAGATATTAGCAGCAGCGTTGCCAAGGTTCTCATGCTTGGGGGCGAAAGGGCGCTGGATTTTAACATGGAGGGGTGGCCAATTTCATCCGTGCTGGAAGTTAGACAGGTTTTTTTTCTCCACCAGACACCTGGACTCCGTACAATCAAAAGGAGAGAGGGGGGTGGGGTGGGTCTGTGAGACAGTGGCATTGCCTCCTCCCCACTCTGGATCATCGAGAAGTACTAACCGTTCGGTGTCCAGGCCTCAGCCCACCCTAACTGTTCCCCACTGTTCTGTTCTTCCAGCCAGGAGATGAGCGGCTGGAAGTAGTCAAGCAGGGGTTGTGCAGTCATCGTACGGTTACCCGTGATCTTCTCCAGGGCTTCGGGCCACTCTTTGCTCTCCCCCATTTTCAGCATATCACTGAAAACAAAATGGTATTAAGTAATGGGTTTCTGCATCACATGAAAATAACATGTACAAGTGCGTTTTTAACATGTTGGTCTGGACTCGACGCAAGAGGGCGCGCGTTATACCGCACGGACGTATGTTACATATGCGATATACGTGCGTTTACTATTGGCACAGACCGAGCGCAAACCAGACTTGGGCCGAGTCTATTATGTGTTTGACCCAACCCACCCCAACGGCTATTTTAAGTAATAGGGCTTTTGACAAATCCCCAAAAATAGAAACAGGAACAGTCAATAGTTTTACCTACATTATATCTGCCCACAACTTTTAGACCAGGGCATGGTATAGGCTTATGCTCTTTCTACTGCACATAACAAAGTTCATAAGTTAACAAACGGCTTCAGATTTCAGGATCAAGACGAGGAAAGCCTAGCAAAGCTTGTCCCAGAGCACACACAATTCTATTCACCTGATTCAGCCAGTGTAATCCTATATAAGAGCACTGCCCGGCTCTACTCACAAGCCAACAACCAGATTGTAAAAAGTGACAGCGAGTCGGTCATTCGGCGAGTCAGTCAGCCTGGTACTCATCAGCGAATACACTGTACAGAATGATGTACATTTTGTACACGTCAATGCATGAGGGCACTTACCCGAGCAATTTTCCAGCCTCCTGACTATTATACACATCACACTTCAGTAAATCACCCGTGTGACCTGCAGCCTCACACATCGCTTTGTGGAACTGGAACTGAAGAATGTGACTCACAAAATATCTGGGGGAAAAAAGAAAATTAAACAGAGTACGACTTGAAAATGATATCACTATTAATCAGGCTCGGATCAAAGACACGCTAGAAGGGCACAAGCCCATTATTATTAAACTACAGTTGAGATTATCGTTAAAAAAATGGAGAACAAAATGATCACCTGATGTAGGGCGTGTCCGATGGGATGTGGTATTTCGCTGCCGGGTCAAAGTTAGCCTCTGTGCGTGGTGTGGGTGGAACGATACCCTGGTACTGGGTTCTGATGGAAGATAGAAATGTCAAACCATGACAATTATGTGACCAAGAAGAAAACAAAACAGTAATTGACTCAAGTTTAACTTGTCGGGTAGGGCGGAGAGTAATATTGTCTAAAGGTCAAACATAGAGCATGCGCAATCGGAATAATGGAAATCCTTTTACTGCGATACTATGAATATCTAGTGCTCATTTTGTACTCTGGCCGGGGTCGCGTCTATTATGACGCCGTTTTGAGTAGGCCTATGGGAATTGCTATATCAGTCCAGGGATTCATGTTTACATTAGTGAATGAACGGTGCCTCAGTGGGAATCAGCTAATTCTCTGATTGATCACTAACCAGCTACATGGATCACTTCCCTCTCATGCCAGTCTTGCTAAGTTAGACCACTTTGCGCTGATACTCACTGCGCTGAAAACCGAACAACTCACCGACGCGTGAGCTCACGTACGCCAGACACACACTCAAAGCACTTAAAGCTTAAAGGGCTCGATTTTGTTTCAAAAAATGGGGAAAGGTGACGTCCAAATCCCGATAATTTAAAAATGAGCGGGAAACATTCTGGCAATTCCGGTACCTCCACCAGGATGGTACCGTACAAGGCCCCATTGGTGTAGAGACATGCAAGAAGACGCAGAATCAACTGGAATGTGATATTAAGGCTACATGTAGCACAGTGCAAATTTCTAATCTTCTCAAAGACGCAAATGTGTAAGCAATCGAGTGTTTCCTTGTCAAGAGAAAGATTGTCGTGGACCTACCTTAGTTTCCACCATTCAGCATTGAAGTTCTCTGGGGTAATGGTTCCATCAAACACCGCCCAACGCCACTTGTCCATCAGGTAACCAAAAGGTAGGAATGCGATCTTATCCAGCGCCATACTCATCAGGAAATTAATGTCCGCCTCTGCAATTCATTGGAAAGAAAATATTACGTCGGATTGAAAATCGAGGATTTTTTTTAGTACGGAGGGTGGATGGATGGACAGTGGTTCTAAGACAATCCTTGAATGAACTTGAGAGAAAAAAAATTGAAGAAAAAAATACAAAACTGTTATAGCCCCCATAACAACCCTTAAATCATAAACGGTATCATTTCACTTTAAAAGATATTGTCCGAAGAACTTAAAATAACCTGAAACCCCCGCGCTAAGACCATTAATTTAAAGGCAGCTGTTATTAAAACTAACTAACTTCATTGATGTAATCGTAGGGCATCAAAAGGACACACATTAAAAAAAAACTGATCTGGAACTGACAAATGCAAAATCGTGCGTTCGTGATTTGTCTCACCGTAGTCGTCCTGTACTTCATCCAGCAGACCCACCGCCTTCAAGTGTTTAGGAGTAGACACAGACAGGGCTAACGTGTCTCCAACGGCCTCATGGAAACCTGGATTAGCGCCCCCACGGTACACCACTGGGAGATCCTTATACTGGAGATAGTACTCAATGTGTCCCATCTCATGATGGATGGTGATGAAGTCGTCCATGGTGATATCGGTGCACTGCTTGATTCTTAATAATACAAAAAAGGAGACATTTTTATTTATTGTTTTCGGAGAACATACCTTAGGTTAACATCTCTCAATGGAGCAGAGACATAATGACGTCATCCTTCAGTTACATGTTCGCTTAACGACTTGAGTCGATGAATCGACTGGAGTCTGATTCGAATCACATTTTTTTGGCGACTCGATTCGACTCGACTCGATTTGACTCGACTCGTGACTCGACTCGAGCCACCTCCAGCAAATAACTCGACTCGACTCGAGTCCCTCATCAAGTAGACTCGATTCGAAGGCTAATAACATTGTAGTCCCAAAACTGTGCGAAAATATATTTTGTGAGCTGTGTGCTGGGCAAAAAGGCTCGAATGAAATTTTGCTCAGCACTTTAATCTCGTGGGCGGTGGGCATTAGGATACTAAAGAATTATGTAAGGGTTTCAGCAGGTTAAAATGACCCAGTGACGTCTGCCAACAAGGATATCGGTAGACCAATTAGACCTGGAGGGAGAACTAAGCAAGATTAAAATAGAAATATATATGTTGATTTTACCTGAAGTCAATTTGGTTAGAGAAGTCCCAAGCAGAGGCGTGGCAGACCACCTCCCTATCATCCGGCTTCTCAATCATTGACTCCGCCCAGAATTCGGGAGTCATTTTCTTCAACCCGAGTGACCCGAAGAATTCATCAGAAACGTTGAACATTCTCCTGGCATCATATCCCTGAAGTCATTGGTAAATTTAAAAGATGAATAAGTGACATGAGCCATCGCCATTATTATTACCGTACCATACCATCGTGAGAAGACACTGCCCGATGTCGCATCTAGTTATTTTTTAAGGAGGATGGTTGCCAACAATGTTGTGTATTATGTTCAGAAAAAGAAACAATAGTTCTCATCCTCAAATTGTGTACAAATATAATTATAATGTTTAAATGGATGCCCTTGTCAGTCCCATTCTTAGGTATGTCATTTGAACAAAATTGTTACCCATGCGTGTGGCTCCCAAAATTGGACAGCCCAATTCTTTTCAACTCTTGAGGGCTCTTTTCCCCAAGCGCCCTCAATATTGCACGTACCTCACGCACCAGCACCGGAGTGACGTCAATACTTGAAGCATCCTTGTATGGTAAAACAAGATCAAGAATATTCAGCCAAGACTGTGACCACATGTTACCTGTGGGACGAACGATAAACAGCAAAACGCAGAGGTCTGTGTTAATCTGACTCAAAATTTTCATTTGGTAACCATTGAGTAACAAGAACATTATCGAAACAAAATTAACAAATGGTTTCTATTTTTCTTGTAACGCAAGTACTATCCTATTTTGGTCCAAATTCTGCCATTATATGGGCCTGCAATTTGAGTCTCTCCACCTTCGGGTTTATAACCACCTCAGGAAAAATCTTGTGTTGGCCCGGTGAACTTTGCAGTGCCCAGTCCGTCAATTCTTTATGAGCTGCAGATAGTCCAAAACTAGAAGGGGAAATCACCACATGATGAAAGATGTGCGTTGCGAGGGATTATCGACTTCGCGACAAGTTAAATTATGTATGGGGAAAACTCTGTCAACGTGAAAACCTCTGGTGTCGCCACAGCAATTTAATTATCTTAACATAAGCGCTGTTGAACCCAAATGATATCACAAAAAGGTTGGATAAGGCAGATTCATACCAAGAATATGTGCCGGAATGGGCCCCTTGAGACTGATGTAGTCAGATCCGTAGATGTCGTACAGTTTTCTACGGACGTAAGCGTGAAGGTTGTCGTATAACGGGCTCAGCTCCTGGTAAAGGTTTTCAAGCTGGTCGGTGAAGTCATCAACCTCATACCAAGACTTCCAGTAGTCGCCATTGTTGGCATATCCTACAGAAGGAAACATCCGGAGAAACTGATTTATATTTCTACACGGAAGAAGTCCGCAAGACAGACACATTACTGGCCTAAGTGAATCAGTAGAGACGCTTCGAAGGAAGCATGAGGCTCATTAATGGGGACATTAAAAACAATCGTTTGAAACAAATGAAAGGTTTCAGTCCTATTACAAAAAAAAAATCATTACTAAAAATTTCAATTTCCAACCGTGACTGACTACACTGTACATCTCTTTTGTCATTTTAACGAAAAGATACAATTTAAAGGGTTCTCTGCGTTCGACAATCTCACATGTAGCGAGAATGTTACGTCCCAATTTTACAAAAGAAAGTCAGCGGAACAAGGTACAAGTCATCAGCCGAAAAAGTAATTAAAATTTGATACGAGGAAAATGCATCTGGAAAAACATCTTGAGGAATTCAGTCACAAAACTGAGGAGATTAAGTTACCATTAGCAACGGATGCTATATTCTTCAGTTCCACGTATCTTTTGTAGTCTTCCTTTGCAGACGGTCCTACCGCCTCCCGCCAGCCCTGCCACGCCCAGTTCAATTCAGCGTAGTTTCGTGACTTCGACATGATGCGCGTCAGTCCTGAAAACAACAGTCGTCACTCACTTCAATAAAGCTACGTAGTTTACTTGCAAAGATCTTTTTTTTTCAATCGGTGACTACATAACTACATTTTCATATCATCGAAAATCAAAAGAAACTCCAATCACTATACAGACACTGCAGAAACGTTTTGCCAAAAAAACCCAAACGTTTCAGAAAACAGCTTCATAATTATTATAGGTCGATTTTTTTCAATTCTTGGAATCAAATATATTGACAAAAGCCAATTTAGATCGGATGTGTGGCGTAAAGTGACTTTGGGATAGAGCATAACGTAAGGTCCTACTTACCAGGCTCCAGTGAAAGACATTCTCCGTCCTCTGGACACACCTTACCCTTGGAATATCTGGACTCCATCCCGGCTAGCACATTGTTGAGCTACAAGGGGGGAACAAAACGAGTATGAAACTGCCTATTACGATCTGTTTCCGTAAGGATTAATAACAGAGGGCGCAGTTCAGACCTGTTTGCTTACTTTTTGTAAAGATTTCTCGCAATCGGGGCATCACCTTAGGAAGGTTGTCATAAGTGTGACACCCTCAAATCGTCGGTGTTGTCGGCAAAAGATTCTTGGCCTAACTATCGTTATAAGAGGCCGTCAGGAATAACGCGTCATATTTTCAGACGGTATCCGGTCCTGTGATCTCAAATAAATTGCTAATTAGTTGTCTTTCAGTTGTCGTACGTACATACCATGCTACATATGACGTCATACCGAGAGGCTATCGTCGTGCAACCCAAATATTTAAGCATCTTTTCCATGTTCTTTTGCCCTCATTTAAGTAAACCGTATAATGTTATCACTTTTAAATTACATTTCAAGAGATACGCATGTAGTGCAGAACAGAAAGGTTTTCTGAAAGTTGTCATCACGTGATCACAACAGCCAATTTGTAAACAAAATGTAACATGACCTATACCAATAATTAGTCTTAATGGGATGCCTCTTTTTGCAACCCAACTTAAGTTTTCATCTAGACATTGGCGGCCAGTTTGGGGTTCTTATCAACCTTTTAACAGGCAATTGAACTGCGAGAATTCATACAAATGACCTCTTTATAAAGACAGACTTAAAAATCAAGACATGTTTGGTTGTGGATGCGTCTATAAAATAATATGTTGCCTGAATCCGAAATTCAGGGTGTCGATCGTCAGGGCGGGAGCCAATATTTTTGACAATTACTTATCCACGAATCCCATCAACTATGAACGCAAATCAGGGCTTCCCAGCTCAGGTTTATAGCCAAATGAATATGAAAAAGTAGTTTGTGTATTATTGTTCGATTCAGAAATGTGGCTCTTTACCTCTTCCAGTTTGTCTTGGTCTTCTATGGCTGCATCTCCAATGGTCTTCAGTTTGGACAGTTGCCTCTTGGTGTCATAACTGAAGTTGGTCATATCAAAGAGAGAGGCGTTGGTTCTGGCTTCCTTAGCAAAGGCGGCCACCTTCACGTTGGCATCAATCTGCAGTTCCAAAACAAAGCATTAAAATTTCCACGGGTTAATTGTTTTCTGGTCCAGGGATTGAGCAACCTCTACAGATAAAATAAAAACAATTCTAATTGACAGTGATATTTGGAAAAAAATTGCAGCAAGCCATGTGTGACTATCTCGCTCCACAGACCCAACAATAACAATGGAGTTTTTTTCCATAAATATTCCATAGAGGTATCGTATCATTTATTTCTTAAAATCTTTTTAGTCATTTAAAACAAATCGCACGTCTGAAAGGTTTATCAGCTTTAAAAAAATACGTCGTAAAGATTTAGCAGTTTTGACCAACACACAGGAACAACAACTGCCATCATCATCTTTGATGATTTTAGCAAAACCCGCGGACAATAAACAGGGGCGGATTCTGGCCCCATCTCTCTATTTTTCCACCCTAGGGGGGATGTGGGGGTGGGGGCAGGGGTAGACCCCTAACACCCCACTGGGATCCACCAGCGGTCAAGTTCTAAGACTTTAGGTTGAACAGGAACTTTACTTGATGAAAACAACAGAAATCAAAGCTATCATACAGGAAATAGGAAAGACAGGAAATGAATGAAGACATAAAAGAAATATGACAATGCCGTGCCGTAAGAACGGCACAGGACAAATTAAAATCATGGAAAATCGATGAAGATGGCTTCCTCCCACAGTGGCTGGAATGAGGAAACGAAATAAACCATAGTTGTCCTTCCTTTTAAGGGCCCATGCTGTGTATTTTTTTAATGCTGTCCTTGTAAGAACACCTTTGATTTTTTTTGGTTTTTATGCTAATGAAAATAAAAAATAAAAAATAAACTGCACAGTGTCTTCCTGAAATGACATCACGGCAATAGCGCCCTCATATGTTTGGAAATCATTGATTTTTGTTTAAAATGTTTAAGAAAGGCACTTCCAATAATATTAACCAAAAAGGGATGTCAAATAGTTTTCATACATTGAAGAGGAGTAGAAAGTTGCGTAAAATGTGTTCCTAACAAAAGTCATCGCATGGAGTCTTTGCGGTTAAGGTACGTAGGCGTAAGCGAAGGCTACCACCCACCGCCCCTATACCTTGTATCAACAAGATGGTTAATTACTCTGAGCTCTCATTGGACTGATTTGATTTAATCTGTGACCTGGGTCACCGAATTTCTTCACGACCGCAGTAAAATAACCAGGATAGTTTTGTATAAACCCTCACAGTGTCGTCTGCAAGAGGTTTACCATGACCTCTGATATGTGCCATAATTGGAATAACAGGTAGTAGGCCTACACAGTGTGTGGGTACAGTATGCCAGGTGGTAAATTGTTGGTAGTTGTGTCTTGCGTTTAATCAATTACAAAATAATACGTTTAATTTATATCTTGCATCGTGGCATCGGCATCGTTGATTTTGAAAGGGAGACTAAACTGGCAAGCTTCATTTACTTCAGCGAATTCTGACGTATTCTGACGTGAAAGAGTCTTAGTTGTGCAAGTACAGCCTCGCTTTGATTCAGTATACGGCTATCCATGCAAGGTCAGAAATTGTTGGGAGGTGGATGGGTGGTGAATATCTTTCTTTTTTATGGAGGATGAAGTCCTGGACACTTTGCCTTTGTGATGACTCTCTACAATCAGATTAAGGTCACTATTTATCGAGTGACCTTCGACACAGAAAAAGTACGCATCCAACCTAATTGTACCATGTCGTGTCAGGCTTTACGATTAGATAAGGCCGTGTATTTACATGGTAGTTTAACTTGTATTTACACGATAGTTCAGTTCAGTAAGTGGTCAAAAGTCAAGAGCCGTACAGAGTATTGATAACACCTTAAATAATTCAACATGTGAAAACCAACAAGTTATTTACAAAAGGTACAACAACAATGAAAGTTTAGGTACCGTATTTCAAAATCACAAAACTCAATCAATCTGTTCGAGTACTACCCACCATAGCTTGTTGATTGGCTTGAGTTAGGTTTGTATTGAAGTTCCATGATTTCAATGTAGACTGGTAGTATTCCTCCATCGCTCGCTCATTAAGCTGGGCCAACCACGCAACAGCCTCCGCCTCATCATCAATTAAACCATCGACTTGACAACCCGATCCTCCAATCAGTATGAAATAGATGGTGAATCTGATCAACAGGTAAACCAAGCACTTCGCCATGTTTGCATCAAACGTGCTGGTATAGTTGCGTAGTACGATTCCTTTCAATGTACGTCGGTTGTATGTTGCAACTCAGGCAAGGATCCTACTATCACACAATTGGCAAAGTAGGACTACCCGCTGACAAAAGGAATTGTTCAAGTACATGACCCCATGACGGGTATTTTACTTTAACATTGCCAACTCATGTCCTTGGTGATTGTATGATTTGGAAGCGAAAAGGAAGGAAGTCTGCCAAGTTTGACTGTACATGCAAAGCTAGGCCTGCTACATTGCCAGCTTTATTCATTTTCCATGTGGCACCGTAGTGCTGGGGTTCAGTTGTGGGGTCACGATGACTCGGATATCCCGTAAAGCATGAGGTTGATTAACTTGATTTGAGTGGTTTATAATTGAGACAATAACCGCTGAAGAGCCAAATTGTAATTTATGGGAAAATATAACTTGCAAATTCGACTTCTATACAAGATATGAAAAGGCACTTTTCCACAGGGTGTAATAATTTGACGGTACAAAATCCTTATTCATTCAAAATGAGTTTTGCGCTTCCGAGAACTATATTAAAAGCAATCGACGCAAACATGTAGGCCTACTGTTTTCATTTGGAAACTGATAAAACCAACTTTGTTTAGTATACATGCATGCATACACCACCATCAACAATAGGATCACAATGATCCCATAGGCCTATTGAAAGTTTGAGTCTACGTACACTCACTCAAATTTAACTTGATGTTAGGTCCACGTACGGCAGCTTTCATGGACGATTACGAATCATCGGATATTCACATTTATCAATTCAAACTCTCCATCAAACCTGCGCAATTATGACATCAGAGTTTCCGTGAAATTGTAGATTTGCTTCAATTTGTTCTTTCTAACTTGATAATAATAATTGACATTATGACGTACCTGGCAACACTTTTATCCCTTTTCAATAAAAAAAAATGTCTGCCAAAAACTTTATATTTTGCACGTTTCTATTCAAAGTACCGGTAACTGGAGACAATACAGTGAAGCGTATAGGAATGTTTGCAAAACTTGACGCTCTACTCTAAAGGCTAGCAGTATATATATATTTTTTCTATGAGTTCAGTATTTTGCACGGATGTAAAGTTCTCTGTACCTATCTAACTGACTAACTGACTTACGGACGAATGTCTCGTGAAGAGAGTAGGGCAGTGCTATCGTGTAGGATTACCCAATTATGACGCCATATATAATGTGATATATACGGCCGCTTTCGTATACGTAAACAGTACATGAAAAGACATGATTTTGTCATTCTGAATCAATTTGAAAAACATTTCGTGCGCCCTGACTTCGACTGGTCATGTGGTGCACGGATAAGCTTTAGGCTAGCCTATAGTCTTTTTAACATAGATATTGACACAAATTGGGAAATCTCGTGACATCATTTATAATGTTCAAGAAATATCATCAATCTTCCCACTCGAGCGATACAGTTATCTTCTTCTAACTGACATCATGTTCAGTCCTTTTTGACAAAGACGTGTCACCAAGAAGAAGGAACTCACCATAGCTTGCTCATTCTGATCAGTAATGTCTGTCTGGTAGCTCCAACTTGCGACAGTACTCTCGAAATAAGCCTTCATAGCCAGCTCGTTGTACTCTGCCAGCCATTGTATTGCCTGTGTCTCGTTTGTATTGGTTCCTTGGCATCTTGAAGAGGAAGGAAGATAGCAAAAAATGCCAAGAAGTAGCAGAACGATGCTGCCTCGTACAGCCATGTTTGAAGCTTAGTCGCTAAACTGAGAATATTGACACTTGACAGATTGCTATCAAGGGCTTAGTTACCTGCAACCCCAAATCCGGCATAGGTTATCACCTAGCTATTGAGCACTAATGTCAATATTTGGTAATGGCGTTTATCTGGCAATAAAGTTTATATAAAGCATTACAAACGTGTTCTGGTTCCTGTATAGACTGCTGACAACCAGCAAAGCTTACGTTGTATAGATAGCTCTGTTACAACTCTACTTAACATCTAAGCCGGAATGCAAGTTCTTTGGATTCTTTTCTGTTACTTCTCGTTGTAGCCAAATAGTGCAGATGTTTTCACTTCGAAAGAAGTCTTTTGTGTACTGGCAGATTATAGGGACAGTGCAACAAGTGAGTTCAATAGCGTTCAATTATTTGCATGGTTCCAAAGAATGAATGCCCCTAACCTAACCCTAACCCTTAAACATGCACTGAAAATGGACACAAAAAGTCATGTAGAACTTAAAAACACATGTACTACGTAGTTGCCGTGGTTGGCAACTATTTCGTCAAAAAAAGGTCCTCATTACACCCTCGTTTACATACGAAAAAGGCATGTTTAGGATTTTTTTGGTAGCGTTTGTTAATAATTTTGTATTTTCAACCATCAAATAATATTTTTGTAATCATTAATAAGTATTCTTCATTGGGACTTTGTATAGTTTGGCAACACGTGGTTGGCAAAATGTGCCAACCACGCGTCGGCGAGAGAAAGGTCTATAATTACGTCTATGGGTAGAAGCGACTGTCGTCCCTTGAAAGTGCGCCCTCTTTATCTGGACGTATTGAAAATAAATGGAATATATTTGCTGTATTGTTAGTATATAGGGTATGCGTACGTGACAATTAAAATGTACATCTGTCAGCTTTGGCTTAGTGTGATCAGTGTTGACTCTAGCTATATCCTGGCCGCAGTCTTCCCTCAAATTGATCTGACAATCTGACTCCATAAAAAGAAATCCGAGTCTCCAATGGCAACCCAAAGAGGCTATACTCTCAGTGTACCACATAATTTAGAAGAACGATGTATACTAACAGATATGTTATGCTATATCCAACATGTATTTCATCAACAATTGGGAAGGATTTTTGGAATTGCATATATAGCCTCATACAGAGAACCGCAGAAGGAAGTCGTTTGAAGCCATATTCCGATCAGAAATGTGAACACCAATCGCTATGATTGGTGTTCACATTTCTAATCGACATGACGTCACAATTTCTAAAGTCGACCCCGATTGGCTGGCGTGCGGGGTCGAGTACAATTTGCAGGGTTGCGTTAGAAAGCGCATGATACTCATTCAAACTACGGCTGCCCCTATTACTACTCAAAAAATAGGAAATGGAAAAAAAGGCCTAGGTCAATATTGAACGTGAATGTACCGTGAAAATACTTCCGAAAGATTCTTGCTTTTGTAGGCGGGGTAATAACAAACAAAAGCTGTTTTGTGTCAGTGAAAGTGTAATATCTGACCATTTTCTTTTGTTTTGGGTATATCATATTGTTTTTCGCTATGTCCATGTTGCAAACTTCCAACAAAACAAACAGAACCTTAATGGGTCATACTAATGCAAACGAACGGGCGTGTGTTTTCTTCGAGTTTACTCCAATTGACTGAACAATATATTACCCTGAATGATTATCCACTGGGTGACCGGTTTTAATTACCGTTGACGTTCTACAGACGGCATACCGCACAATTCCAACTATGAAGAAGGACTAGTTGTCAAACCCCGTATGACTTGAGCCACGGGAGAAATGTAAGATCTCTATCAAGCCATATTCTGCCGACCCCTGACGCATGGTCTTCTCATCAATCTTGTAGCTCTGCAATTTCAGACGTTTCCAAGTTTTTCTTTTCTTTTAATGGATGACATGAGGCGCATGGGTCTGGCATTCCTATATTTCACGGCGATCGGTGCGCAACACCGAACAATTTCTTGTTATTCGAATTGGTCGCTGTGAGTATTTCAGTGAGTGAATCAAAGGAAGTGGAGATTAAAAGCTATACAAGGACATCGGCATTGCTTCAATCTGTGGAAAACCAAGCAAGTAAGAAAACAAACAAGCAAGCAACTAACGAACCGACTGATCGACTAACCAACCAACGGACAGAAATCAGGCCTACATTTAACGATTTTCTTTGGGAAAAAATATACTATTGGAAAATGATAATTTGTTAACATTTTTGTTATGAATTTTGCTTGTAATCGCTAGTTCTATAGAATAGTTACTTACTGAGTGCAAACAAGATAGATAAGTTCGAAGAACTTGACTAATTTAGTCAAAAGCAATGCTGATTAATAGCAAATGCAAGTATTGGTGAACCCAAATCGTAGAATATGTAGTAGACATTTTGGCTTGTTCTATATAGGGCCGGCCTAGTGACTGACTGACTGACTGACTTATTGTCTCACTGCCAAGTGTGAGCTAGGCAGTGCTATCATATAGGATTACCGCTGAACGCCAATGGATTGGCTCAATCTGGCCCACTGAGTACACAGATGCATGATGAGACTGCCAGGGAAAAGACATTCTCAATCAATTGAATCTAATGTTGTGGGTTCTCAAACCAGCTTTACTTTAGATTTGGCCAGTCTTGTTTACTGTTCCCGTCATTTCCATATGATTCTTTTCTAATAATTTGTTATAATACAGAAGCAGAAGAAAAGAAGCACGATGCAGTAGCCTGTATATCTGATGTCATCTGATAGCACACACGAGATTCAGCAATAAATATCAAAATAGTGATGTCCTTTTCAAAACAAACATGAGAGAATTATTGTATCGGTACGTTCGCATCTTAATTTCAATTGAAAAGCTGAGTCTTAAAAGCCCGCGCTTTGGAAGATATTTCATCAAACCTGCTACATATAGAGAGGCATTATTGAAAAATTGAACAAAAAGGTCAAAGGATTAAAAGAGGAACTATGGCAAGGAATACAAAAATGTCAATTGACTGCGATGATGAACACGCATTTTTTGGCGCACTGGGAAAACTGAAACCATCAATAATTAAAATGTATTATGATGACGCTAGCTGAGCATAGGGGAAATAAATCACGTCAGAAAGATGATTAGGCCGGCATTGTAGCCTGACATTCCAGGCGTTGTTTTGGAAGCATCTATAAAGTTCAAATTCCATGTATGATGGGACTAGTCCTGTATAACTATCGAGGACGTGTGTTCCTGTCCTATATATCCCTTGTGTCCGTGCTGGATTGTGGCTGATATGGGGTTGAACAAAACGAGATGTGAACAGACCACACGCTTTGTAGGAACACAAATTATAAACGTAGTAATATATAATTATTTTCGTTTAAATAGGAGTAAACAGATGAGTTATTAAGCAGAGGGCGCCATGGGCACACCCCGGCTCAAGGCCTAAACCGCCTCCCTTGCCACTCAGAATTTTGGGAAGGGGGAAAAAATAAGATTTTTGTTGTTAAAAACGAATTTTAGTGCCCCTCTACCTCAATGCAATGGGCCCCGCCCCCGCAAGTTGAACCCTAGTTACGAAAAAGGCAGTAAATGGAAACATTTCGACGCAGAACATTTTGATGGTTCCTAAAGGGGTGATACAATCAACTTTTGTTGGCAATTTTTCCCCGATATTTTGCATGTTAAATTACCACCTGAAATTGGAGAGCGTGTCGGCTGTGAACATAACATCGACGTTCTTGTGAATTTTAAGGTATGGTTTAGTATCGAAATATGGACAACGATTAATGTCATTACGGGCAAGGCATTAGGGAGGGAGTTATTCCCTTTCGTACTGCATCAGTATCCAGTCAATCAATGCCAATGAATCGGGCTAACTGAACTCGACTCAACAAGACATTTTTCACCATTGATTATAACGTGAGTCTTTTTTTTTTGACAACGACTGAGTGTCCATGTGACTATTAAAGCCCCGAGTCAGACTATACATAATCGCTAGGGAGACTCCGCGCCGGCAGATGTCTTCTGGCTGCTATTGTGAAAACATCTTCGGGGCACAAACAGTCCTCAGACGCCGCGATTTCTGTCTAGCAAGGCCTCTGTAAGGTATGATTTCTTATTTCCTTTATGATAATATATTTTACAATATGAACTGGTGTTATAATTCCCTTGAGGGCATCGTCAGCTGAGAAAAGATACGGGTCCGGTTCCCGAGGGGCGGTTTTATCCAACAATCTTTCACACTCGATTATCTAAAATGAACTTTCTTTATTTTTAAACTGTTAAAGCTTTTCTAAAATATGATTTAGCTGAATAACTTCTGATGGCCGTGCTTGGTGTGACATTTACAGCGTTCGATCTGGATGTTTTTAAAAAGTAATCTTTCCATAACTTCGTCTCTGTTTTAAATCTGCAAGCTTTAGAAATTCCTGAATTACAATCTGTAATCGCAATCCACAACATCGGCGAAGTTTTGTTAGAAAGGCTGTTATTTCATCCGCTGTAAGACAATCAGCCAGCAACGTCAAGTGAACCCCTTGCACGCCTCTCCACTGCTACAATTGGAGACGGAATAGACTGATGTAATGAATATTCAGTCAAGTATTAAATTCGAATTCGATTACGAGTATGCCGTTCCGAGTTGACGTTGATAAAATGACTTTTTTGTGGCGTGGATTTCATTTGAAATGTTGAAGTAGTAATGCTGTTACCCCCCCCCCCCAGTAGTATCCCCCATTTGCCTCGGCCACAAGAGGTAACACTGGGATTTTGCCTCGGCCACAGGAGGTAACACTGTCCCAAAACGTTCCGGAGGTTGGAAACTCAAAAAGGGGTAAGGTTGGGTGGGATGGGGTTGGGTGGGATGGGATGGGGTTGGGATAGGGGAAGAAAGAATATCTGGCACTGTCCAAGATGGAAGCTTGCTTGTACTATGTATACATAAATGTGCAATATTTTAAATAATGTACGCTCCACATTAATTCCCAGCAGTTTGAACTTTTTTTTTATTTGTGCTAAAAAAAGTGCTTAATGATCCGCATGTCTTTATCATGAAATGTATCTCGTGTGTGATATTACAACTGAACGAACACGCCTTGAATTAGGCGACGGGACGAAAACAAGGTTATGGGGTTCAGTTGAATGCCACG